TGCAGAGGGGCCCCCTGGATTCATGAGCCTCAAGTGGAAGTATGCATGGTTACACCTCCTCTAGTAACAGCTCCGTTTCCCTTCCTTGCTCCCTTCTTTCCTTTCCTTTCTTTTTTTGTGGTGGTGGTTTTGTTTCACATTCCTGTAGTTACTTCTTCCCCTGTGTGTGCATTGTGAGAATCCAGAGGACTGATTTTTTGTTTGTTTTTATGGTGCTGGGGAATCAAACCCAGGGCCTCACACATTAACAAGGCAAATGTCCTACCACTGAGCCCTAATCCCAGGCCCAGAGGACTGGCTTTTGCCTTGGAGCCGGGAGAAGCAGGACAGCTGATTTCTGCCATGCGTGATAGCCTCCAATGCACCTTTCTCTTGTGAGAAGGGAATCCTGGTGGTGGCATTTCTTGGCAGGCAAATGGAGCATGGTTTTGCTTCTTACCTGGCCTGTGACATCCTATCTGTAGTGACAGTAATGTCCTTCCCCATTGGCAGAGTCCCTGCTCAGGGCAAGGGTTGAGTATGTCACAGAAGGAGGCAGGGAGGGGCGCGCACTTGGGGCTCAGTTCTGTCCAGAGCCCTCTGGCTCCTGGCTTTTGCTTACAAGGCTTTGCAGCTATAGTAGGAGCTGTCCTACTCCTGAGAGACAGGCAGAAGGTGATGCATGCCTGTGGTCTCAGCTATGTGGGAGGCCACAGGTAGAAGGATCTCAATCAGAAGTGCACCCAGACAAAAACACAAGATCTTACCTATGAAATAACTAAAGCACAAGGGCTGGGAAAGGAGGGTGGCTCAGGTGGTAGAGCCTAAGGGGCGTGGCTTAAGGGGTAGAGTCCCCCACCCCCCACCCCCCAGCCAAAAAGGAAAAGAAAAGCAATAACTTTAGCTACATCATGAGAGTTTTAAGTCAGGCCTAAGAAACAGCTGTGGTGTGAGTGATGGAGCCTTCCCTCCCCCACAGGGGGTTTTGGAAACAAGCTAGGTCCTCTAGCTGTTGGTGATGGTGTGAGTGTGGTCCAACCTAAGAAGGGGTAGACCCTTCACAGGGGAGATGACCAGGACCTAAAAGTTTACTAAGTCACTGCCAGTTGAGCATCTGGGAACTGCCTGAGTGAGCATGTGATGGCATGAGCCCTGCCTACCTCCTTCCTAGTCCCTGCTCGGTGACATCTCATGGAACCCCTGCTTCCAGGACATGGCATTGAAGCTTCAGCAGTGTCTATGCTGCCTCAACCTCTCCCCGCCTCCCCGCCCCCAGCCTCCATTCTTGTCCCAGCCTTCCTGGAAGCTCCCTGAGGCCATGGAATCAGATGGCACCATAGCTCTGTGGGCCTCTGTGGGGCCCATAACCTCACAGACATGCTGCAACACAAGCCAGGCTGTCAGACCCCAGCTGTGTCCTCCCTGTCCTGGATCTGGGAGTCAGTCATAGCTGCCTGCTCCCCGCCCCGCCAGCCTGGGGCTCTCCCATCCACACTTTGAGCCTCTGATTTGGCTTCTTAGAGCTGCCACAGGGCACAGAAGGAGGACTGTGACTCACAGTGGCCTCCTTGGGGTCTGGCTGTCAGTTATCCAGGAAGAATGCCCAGCCTGAGGACACCCCAGGCATTCACTGTCTTTCTCTTCCCAACAGCAGCAGACTGGGTGTGAAGAGCTGCCACTGGGCCTGCTGGCCTGGGAATTTGGAGGGGTGGCAGGAAGGGGCTCTGCTCCATTTGGAAATCTCTGCTCATGGCACCTCCTCAACTTGATCTGAGGCAGAGGCAACAGTGGCTATCCCCTGCCTCTGGAAAGCTTTCTCCAAACGCTCTCACAGCCCCACCCCTTCTTGTCTCTTTCCTTGTCTATGCAGCCCAACTCTGCCTTCCGACCACCACAGAAAGACTCCCCAGCAAGCCTGGTCGCCAAGGCCCAGTCCTTGCCCTCAGATCAGCCCATGGGGACCTTCAGTCCTCTGACCACCTCGGACACCAGCAGCCCCCAGAAGTCCCTCCGCACGGCCCCAACTACTGGTCCACTCCCAGGCCGGTCTTCCCCCGCAGGCTCCCCCCGCACCCGGCACGCCCAAATTAGCACCAGCAATTTGTACCTGCCCCAGGACCCCACAGTGGCCAAGGGTGCCCTGGCTGGCGAGGACACGGGCGTTGTGACTCATGAGCAGTTCAAGGCTGCGCTCAGGATGGTGGTGGATCAGGGTGACCCCCGGCTGCTGCTGGACAGCTATGTGAAGATTGGGGAGGGCTCCACAGGCATCGTGTGCCTGGCCCAGGAGAAGCACTCCGGCCGCCAAGTGGCTGTCAAAATGATGGATCTTAGGAAGCAGCAGCGCAGGGAGCTGCTCTTTAATGAGGTGGGACGATAGAATGGAGACATGGTTAGAGGTGACTGGGAGGGCAGTGAGCACTCAGCCAGGCTGGGCATCTGCAAGCAGGGGAGGTGGGTTGGCCTTACCTCAGGGTCTCTGTGCTGGAACAGTCAGGCATGGCCAGTGTTCCCCATGCATGATGGCTCCTCTCAGTGACTGACAGCTGTGTCCCTACAATCACTGAATACTCACACAGGCTCTCCTCTGCCTCCAGGTGGTGATAATGCGGGACTACCAGCACCTCAACGTGGTGGAGATGTACAAGAGTTACCTGGTGGGCGAAGAGCTGTGGGTGCTGATGGAGTTCCTGCAGGGCGGGGCCCTCACAGACATCATCTCCCAAGTCAGGTGGGCAGCTGGCAGGGTTGGGGTGAGGGAGGGCTGCCCCCAATGATGCCTTTGGCCCAGAAGACTTGGGGTACTGTCAGATCATCTGGAGTCTGTTTGGGGTAACTGAGACTCAGGGGTCTTGGGAATAGGGAAAAGATGAGGACAGCTCAGGGCTACAGCCTATCTGGGCCACTGAACATGTTGCCTGGGAGCCGTGGGACCTCGTGCCAGGGTCTCCTTCCACCCAGCCCAGCCATCCTGCATCCCTGCCAAAGCTGACATTCTCTTCTATCTGACGGCCCTGCTGTTATTGACCAGGCTGAATGAGGAGCAGATCGCTACTGTGTGTGAGGCCGTGCTGCAGGCCCTGGCTTACCTGCACGCCCAGGGTGTCATCCACCGGGACATCAAGAGTGACTCTATCCTGCTGACTCTCGATGGCAGGGTAGGCCCTCCCCATCCTTGGCACAGCTGCCCCACACCACCTCCCCTGCTCTCCCTCACATCCCTCCTTCTCCTGGTCCTCCACCTACTCCCCTTTCAACTCCAGGTGAAGCTCTCAGACTTCGGATTCTGTGCTCAGATCAGCAAAGATGTCCCCAAGAGGAAGTCCCTGGTGGGAACACCTTACTGGATGGCTCCTGAAGTGATCTCCAGGTCTCTGTATGCCACTGAGGTAACCATCCCCTCCACTCCTCAGAGTTCCCAAAGAAGCTTGGAAATGTGAAACTTCTCTGCTTTGACCTCCTCCGGAGCCCCACCACCAACAAAATAGCTCTGCTTCTCAGGTACCCACTTAGTACCTGGCCCTTTCACCAGGCTTCTCTCACCTGGACATCGCTGCCAGGACTGGCTCCTGAAACCACTCCCTCTGGCTCAAGGGCACAGTGGGGACAGTGTTCCCCACGCATGATAGCCTCTCTCAGAGAGTGGTTGATGGCTGTCACCCTACAGTCACTGGGCACTCAGAGCTGACCACAGGGCAGCTGACCAGGGAGGAAGGAAACACTCACCAAGGAGAGCTGGCACAGCTGCTCCCCTTCCTGCCCCTCCAGCACCTTGCCACCAGGGGCCTCTAGCAGTAAGGCCAGGAATGTTTTCCTTCTGCAGGTAGATATCTGGTCTCTAGGTATCATGGTGATTGAGATGGTAGACGGGGAACCCCCCTACTTCAGTGACTCCCCAGTACAAGCCATGAAGAGGCTCCGGGACCACCCTCCACCCAAGCTGAAAAACTCTCACAAGGTCAGTTGATGAGCAAGGTATACCCCCAGACTCCATTCTCCTGCGGCAGGCCCAGCCTCACCCCTCCACCGGGCCTGGAGGGCCCACACACCTGGTCTTTCTCACCCAAAACCTGCACCTGGGTATGGAGCCACACGTTTCTGCACAAACTCCCAGGAGCTGAGCAGGAGGCATTCCTCAGCAGACACTTGACAGGAGCCCAGAGACGCCTCTGAGCAAAGATGCCAGAGCTCCCTGCCATCCCAGGGAGGAATCTGGAGCAGCCTAGCTGAGCACAAACCCCTCTAACCCATTTGTCAGGGGCTTCCACATTAAGGCACAGTGTACCCATCTAATGTAGGAATCAGCCTGACCTCCAGCACAGCACTTCCTGGGCCAACACAGCTGGGCCAGTTTCTCCTTAAATCCAGTTCATATGTGTATTCTATCTAATCCTGTCCTGCTGAATCCACCCCAGGCGGGCGGGCCTTACCCATGGTTGCCCACTGCTGGCAGGTTGGCACTGCCATCTGGTGGCCAGAGCAAAAAAATGTCCCAAAGGGTTCAAGGCCAGTCTGTAAGTGGCAAAATCTTCTGTGGCCCCAAGACAGCTGGCTTAGGAGGACCAACAGGAAACACCTTCCAAGACAGCTGGCTTTCAGAGATGAGCCAGTCTCACATCCCTGAGATGAGCTGATGGAGGAGGTTGCCAATTAGCTAATGCCCAGAGGTGATGGCTTTCTGTAGCAGCCCCAGATCTCAGCTCAATATGATCAAAGATCAGCCCTTGCCTTAGACTCTAAGGCCTAGAGCAACAGCAAACTCTTCCTTTTCATGTGTCACCTTGTTCTGTTCTATTTTTCAAGCATGTCCTCTTCACTGACTTTTTTCCCTTTTTTATCTTCACGGAAGCCTTATGTGGCAGACAGGACAAGAGCACTTCATCACTAGCCCACTTCACAGATGAGAATATGGAGGTCGAGAGAAATTTGCAACTTGCCTTAGATTGGGGGTATACCCAGGACTGATCACTGATGCCAGTTCCATGCCCCTTCTTCCAATTGGGTGGGGGGAGGGAGCAAAGCTTGACTGCAGACAGCCCTAAGAGGCAGGCAGGGGGAGCAGGCTGTATGTAGAATCCAGCTTCCCAGAGGTCCAGACAACCTAATTTCGTTGCTTGGCAGCTCCCATTACAGGTGAGCTGGCCACTGTTCCTGATCTGACCCAACCTCCTTTACCTACCTGGTTATCTAATAAGCTCTGAGCCTGGGAGGAGCCAGAAGAAAGAAACAAGAGAAATAGAAGCTGTCAAACAGTGATGGCACAGTCAGCTCATGCCAAAGTGACCGAAAACCATGGCTTCCTCTCACTGCCCTGTCTCCACAGGTCTCACCAGTGCTGCAAGACTTCCTGGAGAGGATGCTGGTGCGAGATCCCCAAGAGCGAGCCACGGCCCAGGAGCTCCTGGACCACCCCTTCCTACTGCAGACGGGGCTACCTGAGTGCCTGGTGCCCCTGATCCAACTCTACCGAAAGCAGACCTCCACCTGCTGAGCCCACCCCCAGAGTGCACCTGCCACCTGTGAACACAGGGAAGGGACAGTGGGCAGCCAGCCCACCGGCAGGACCTGCCTGCCTCATTTTCTCAGTATTTTCTCCAAAGATCGAATGTGAAGTCCTACCCATCCTGTCCCCTCTGCCCACTGGGCCAGGCCGGACCTGCCCCCTCGGTCTCTCTCCCACCCCAGAGAATCCCCAGTTGCCTTTGGGATGATGGACGCCCCTTCTGCAGGATGACCCTTTGTAATTTGCACAGGGATGTTTCTAAGAAACGTGAAGACCGGTGTAGTAGTAACCAGGACCACCCGAGAAGGTAGACTGGCCCCTCTTCACACAGATACTTGCTATTCTCAGCTCCAGCTTCAAACCTTGGGGTCTCAGAGGAAAGGTGTTTAATGCCTGAATCCTTCTTCCTCCCTTGGTCTGACTTCCTGAAGGCAAAGCCCCACCCCCTCTGCTTCCGGTCCCCTGCTCCACCTCTCCACTCACAGCCTGCACAGAACTGCGAATCGCCTGTGCATAGGCTGTGGGCGGGGGTGAAGGGGGCATTTTCTGAGTGAAAGAGAAAGTGGGGTTGGTGGTAAAAGTGGCCTCACTTTACAGGATGGAGAGAACGTCGTGTTTGTGTGTGTGTGTGCGCTCGTGTGGAGGGAGGAAGGTCACCCCAATAGCCTGGGTCCCTTCAGTCACCTGCAGCCAGCTTTAGGAGGGCTGCCCCATCCCCTCTCCTACTAAGCGCAGCTCCAAAGGGACCTTTCTTGGCCTGGCTTCCCACCTCTCAAGTCCATCTTTTTACTCAACCAGTGAATGGGTCACATACTGGAAGCTGTGGAGATTTCTGAGTTTGTCCTGCACTGTGGGGTCAGAGACAGAGATACCTGTCATCTGCATCTCAGTGGCCAGGTCATCAGGGACCCACCCTCTTTAGAACCCTTGGCTAGTGCAGAAGGTGAATCACCTCTTGGGGGGTCCATCCCGCCAAAGGAATAGGCACCCCATTTGTATGAACCTGCTGCCCCAGCTGCCTCCATAGACACCTGCCTCCTGTCTTCCTTTCCTCTCCACCTTCCTGGCTGTTGTGAGACAGGGAATGCCAAGGGAAGAACCCCAGGTGCCTGGATCCTATCCAGACACTATTTTTAGATTCCTCTGCTCCCTAGTGGCCTGCTTTAGGGCAAAGAAATTGCAAGGACTTTTTTTTTTTTAAAGGGTCAGAGTTTTAAAAATAAGCATCTTCCCTAGAAACTTTTGTGAATTGTTTGCACTTGTGCCTGTTTTAAATTAAACTGAATGTTCAAATTTCTGGGTTTTCACTGTGTCTGGGATGGGAATCAGGCTATCTTGGACCTGGACGTGCTGGGGGACTCCCCAGTGGTCACTTGAGTCTGCACAATACCCAACTTCCGTGCGACTGAAATGAGGGCAGAGAAGGAAGGGAACAGGAAGTGAAAGGCCCTTGGGACTAAAGCAGAGGCAAAATAAAGCAGGGCTCCTTCCCAGCGGGGGAAGAATCAGACCAGGAAAGGTGGGCCAGCCGTGTGCTGCACTGGATAACCACTTTCTGCATTGGCTTCTCCTGTACGGTTCTCACACCTTGGCCTTCAAGCTGTCCCACAGGAAGTGTCCTGAAACCGCTGCCAGGGAGAAAGCAATCCCTGTTCAGTTCTCATAACTGGAGGAGATTGTAGAATTGTAGAGAAGTGGCTGGGAACTGAGAAGCCTGAGCTCTAGAGTCTTGAGGGGGGAGGGTGAAATTACCTTCCAATTTGTAGCTCTCACGTTCATTCCAGCCCTCCCTTCCTGAGATCTCCATCCAGTCCAGGGTTCACTGAAACCTCTTAGCAAGGAGCTGGGTAGACCACCTCCTGCTCTCCACAACATTCACACCCATGTGGTGACCCAAGCCCACCAGCTCAGTGAGAAGCAGCCGCTGTGACTTACCTGTGGGAACCAGCCACAGAGTGGGCAGGGATAGGGGCTGACAAGGGCGGGATGCTCCATAGACAGCAAGTGCATCCTTCCATCCCTCCAAAGGGAGCCAGGAGGCAGGAATGGATGGGAAGGCAAAGACAGGCCAGTTCTCACAATGGAATAATACTGGGTTTATTAACTACTTTGACTTCCACTCGTCCTTCCACTACACAGCATCTCTCCAAAAGGGTGCATCCCATACCAACCAGTGCTGAGCTCCAGTGGCCTGGGTGACACTTCATAATGACAAAAGCAACAAGAATAGAAAGAGCAAAATACTTAGAAAAATCTCTTCTACGGTGCGGAGAGCAAGAGAGGGCCCCGGTGCCAACACCCAGGGCTAAAAATGACGTTCAGGCGAGCAAGGTTGGTGATGCGTGGAAGTTGTGCACAGAGCTGGGTCTGATAAGGAGTCTGTAAGGACAGCAAAGCAGTCAGACACACAACTCAGTTGAGACAGGAAAGAACTGTGATTTTTAAAGAAGCATCCCTTTCAACCAACCAACCTGCTTTGGGCCAGAGAGGATCCCTCATGACTGTTTACCCCAGGTGACACTCACCAGTCAGTGGCACTGGAAAGCTGATAGCACCTCTGATACCATGTGTGACCCAGATCTCGTGCTGTTTTTAAGCCACAATTCTTATATTATCACACCATTTAAAACGTCATTAAAATGAAACACAGTTGAAAAGGGAATAAGGGAGTGAGCCAGGATCAGAAAGAAGCAGTTTGCACTCAGGGGGTTCAATTCACTCCCATCTGACCCCTCAGGCTTCACCCACCACCCAGATAGGGGATTGAGGAGAGGAGGAGCTGGAGGGGAAGGGGAAAGGACAAGACACCTCAGAAAAAAAAGCAACCGTCATAAGAAAACTGCACAATCCACAGGTGGCAAGTGTCAGAAACCAGGAAGGAAGGCTGGCAGCTGTAGCTATTAGAGAGCAGGAGCTCTCGAAGACAGGGAGCTTAACTTGAAAGATTAACTTGGGGTTCTCGTGAGGTGTGTGGGCATTGCCACACCCCGTGAGACTTTTTTGTTGTTCGCTGCCCCTCACTTCACTGCCGTGAGGTGACTTCAAGTATCCTGATTTAAAAATCTACAAGAGGAACAAGGTTCCATGGATAAATGCCTGCGGAGAACAGCGGTGATTGCAAATCAAACCCGAGTCTGAGCTCCCAGCCAGGGGCGGCCACCAGGGGGCACTAGAGGAATCCCGTCCAGTGTGCAGGCCCGCGCGGCCACGTGGATGACGCGCAAGGCGAGGGTGGTCAGGACACCTGACCTCCCGCCGTCACCCCAGGCCCAATTTCCCACACGGTCATTCTTGCTCAGGGCACTTCCCTTGGAGTTACCTTTCTTTCCATAAAGACAAATAGGTCGACTAGGAAAGACCCCATGGCAGGCAGGTGAAGGTTCACAAAAAGAGCCACCCCCGAAATACCTTCGGTGCCTTGAAGCAGGAGTTCCTGCCACTCCCAGAGCGGTGGGCACCCGGATACCTGTGCCCGCGCTGGCGCAGGGTCCTAGCGCACGCGGTATCACCCTGCTGCCTCGCGAGGCATATACAACGAGTCAGAAAGCAAGTGGGGGCGGGAAGGCAGGGGACAAAGGACCTGGCCTGGAAAGAGCCTCTAACTACCTCTCCACGGTGGCCTCTGACTCACTAATTGCCCAGTAATAAAAGCTGGAAGCTGGGCCGGGCCTGCGTCCCACGCGGTGGGGCAGAGGCAGGGGTGCTTGGCCTCGACCTCTAGCATCCATCATTCGCCCTGCCCTCTATTAACGGCCCAGAGAGAAGCAGGAAGCGTGAACAGACCCCTCGCAGCTCTCTCCTGAGTTTGATGTAATTTAAACCCGGACCTGCGGTTCGTGTGGGCTCCTGACTCCCGCGCGCCGCCGCTTAACGTCGCAAACACTTCAGTCAATTATCCCCCTCGTGGAGCTTCTATTTAAAGAGATATTGTCAGGCTCTTAGCTTCGGATCAGACCTGCTGCTTTCTGCTTCATATACAAAGACTCAAAACACGAGTTCTTTGAGGGTTGGAAGAAATACAATTAAGCAAAGACTTCGCAACCGTTCCACCCTCCTGGAGCACCCACGTGCGGAACGCGGGAGCTGGGAGGCGGTGGGGGTAGGGAAGTGCTAAGTCCTTTCCATTTCTGGCCTCTGGGAGTGAGTGGAAATAAGGCTGGGCCAGGAGTGAGGCGATGAGCCACCAAGATGGAATTCAAATGCACTGGAGGTGGGGAGTGGGCTTGGGGAGCAGAGACCCACACTGCCAATTAATTTGAATCCTGGGTCTGCCTAGCGCAGAGGCAGAAGGAGGTTGTTACCCAGAACCTGACTCAAGGGCAACTGGTGGCTAACACCAGAAATTGCTGCTACCCCAAAATATTTTAATTGCCTTGAAGCAGGAGTTTTATTCCAGAAAAACTTAACCACCAGATTCCTTCCTCATCAGCCCTCCTGTCCAGAAAGGCTCTGGGGGGGGTCCTCATTTCTCCCATTCTCCAACACTTGGCGGGAAGGGAGACTTTGGTAGTTTTGTCACGTTATTTGTCATATCAGCAGGCAAAGAGGGCTGGGCCTTTGTTCTCCCAAGCCAACTCTTCTGCTTGCCTGGCTGCCCAGGGTGTTGGGAAGTTCAACAAGAAGGGGACTAGGTAAGAGTCTAGGCAGGGTGTTCACCTTCTTGGCTGGAAGGCTGAAGCCTACCAAACCAGTCTTGCACACCTCTTCTTCCAGGGACAGGAAAGGCAGGACAGGAAATGCCAAAGAGCACAAAAAGATGGTGTCCCTTTCTTACTTCCGGTGGAGGGCGAATGGAGATCTCGTTTTTTGAGCAGGGGGGAAAGGTTGGGGTGGAGGGGCCGAACTGCAGAAAAGGTGAGTGAACTGGAAGAAAGGGAGAAATTCCACTGGAGCAGAGAGAGGAGAGGAGGGGGTACAGGGCTCCGCCCAGGCGCAGTTTACCGCTGGGCATGCAGCACCACAGCCTCGGTGCCCGCCTGCCAAGGCTTTGGCTCGGACACCGGGAGGGGCAGAGCATTGGCCTCCATCTCCGGGCCACTCTCCGGCCCTGGAGCCTCCCCGACCAGGCTAGGGATGTCTGGGGCTGTGGAACGTCGGCGCAAACCCAGTCGGCCAGAGCCGGGGCCGCCCTCCGGGTGGGGACTAAGACCGATAGGAGCTTGCACTATGGTTGGGGGCGCTCCCTCCAGCACCTCCTGTGAGCGCCACCGCCCAGTCCCCGAAGACTGGGGTGAGTTTGGTCGGGCCATCAGGGCCCCAGCCCGTAGGCGTGCCGTCTCCTCCTCGGTCATGGCACCCAACGCTAGGCTCATGCTCCGGCCCAGCTCGGGTCGCTCGCTGCCCTGTGCCCGGTGCCGGCCCGAGCCCTTACCGGCTGAGCCAACCTCGCCACCATGACCGTGACCGTGGCCGTGGCCGTGGCCGCCCGCCGCTCGCGCAAAGCGCGCCAGGAGAGGCCGTGGTAGGCGGCGGGGGCTGGGTCGTCGACGCTCTGGGCTGGGCGCCGGGGCAGGGCGGCCAGGAGGGCTGTCGGAGTTGGAGCCCCGGGCCGCCGCGGCAGCTGCGGCCCGGCCCCAGGGCCCGGTGAGGGCCTGCACACAGGTTCCGTGGCCGCGGGAAGCGGCCAGCTGCAGCGCGGTGAGGCCGGCGCGGTTGGTGCGGTCAAGGCGCAGGCCGAGGCGACGGAAGGAGCGCACCAGGAACTCGAGCACCGCCCCGTGGCCGCACGCCGCCGCCCACATCACAGGGCTGTTGCCCGCGGAGTCGGCGGCTTCGGGGTCGCCGCTGAACTGCACCAGCAGCTGCACGGCGTCCAGGTGACCTCGTTCGCATGCCAGGCTGAGGGCCGTGCGGCCGCGCTCGTCCCGCAGGTTCACGGCCGCACCCTGCTCGAGCAGTAGTCGCACGAAGCGCGCGCGCATCGTGGGGTCCGGCAGCCCTACGGCCACCATAAGCGGGGTACGGCCCTGCTCTGCGCGGCAGTCGATGATGCTGCGGTCTAGCGCGTCCAGCACGAAGCGGGCCAAGTGCACTTTGCCAGCCTGCATGGCCTCCAGGAAAGTGCGCGTACCCGCTCGCGGGCACAGGTCCTTGGGCTTGAGCATGACCCCGGCCGCCGCGCCTGGGCGGCTCCGCAGCTCCGCACGGGGGCGCTTCTGTCCCCGCGCCCCGTGGGGCTGCGGTCGCGGCTTCGGTACCGCTCCCTCCGCGCGTGGGTAGCTGCGGCGGAGGGGCCTGAGGTTCCTACTTGGGTCGCCCGGTAGCTCCTGCTGCCGCGCCACTCCTAGGTCGCACGCCGGGTGTCCCTTTGCTTCCTCCCTCGGCCTCCCACCTGCAGAGGCTCCGCTCCTGGCCCGCCACGAGACGACGGGAGCCCAAGCTCGGCCCCCTCGACTCTCCGGCTGTCTGCTCCGTGTCCGGCGCCTGTCAGTCCCTCGTGGCTTGGAGCCGCGCCACTCACCCGCACCCGGGGCAGCCCCCGCTCCCTTGCTAAGACGGTGGCGCCCGCCGTGCGCGCTGCCTCCAGCCCAGGCAGGGCGCGCCGCTCCTCAAGCTGCTGGCGCCGTTCCTCCGCCTCCTCCCCTCCTGCGGGGGCCGGGCCACGCCGGGGCGCTCGCTTCTTACTTTGGGGGCTCAGCAGCGCGGGAGCTATCGTCCGCCTGGATACCTGACTTTATAGCTTCAGGGGTCTCCATGGCAATGGCTGCCCGGGAAGAGGGCAGCGCCGTCTGGGCAGAGACGGACGGGGCGGGGGAGATCGCTTCTGACCCCCACCTCCTCGCGGGCCACGAAGTTGGGGAGCGGCTCCTCCTCCGCGCTCCCCTGGGAATGCGGCGGCGGTTGCGGGGCGGGGGCGGGGGCTGCTCGCCGGGGGCCACATGCACCCGGTCGGGCCAATCCCAAAGTCGCAGTTTTCTCTCTCCGCCCTCCGCCTCCACCTGAGTCGGTGCCCTCGGCTGCTTAGAAACTGGCGGGACCGTGGGCTTGTCCGGGAAAACCGAGAGCTGCGGTTCTGCGTGAAAGGAATCGGACCCCAGGAAGGCAGAACTGGACCGTGCGCAAGCTGAGGAGTGGCGGCGAAAGGCAAATCAGAAGACCTTTGGGGAATTATGGCACATGTGCTGCCACCTGGGGGGCGCTTGGCTGGCTAGGAACTGCCACCCAAAGTGCAGCGAATCACACAGTCACACACAATTGTGCCTCCCGCACACGCTTCTCAGAGCAGGGAACGTGTGCACTTTCCATCTCAGACGTCTCCTACCCTGACAGCGCGCCTACATGCCACCTCCTGGCAGCCCTGCGGAGCAGGCAAGACGAGACATCTGGCCACCCAGACCCCGACCCCCAACGGGCGCCTTACGACCTGAGAGTGTTGCAGATTCCCGGACACCACCTCCCAGCTCCTCCAGGACCTGCTGCCACCCGGGAAGAGCCAGGGACACAAGCAAGAATCCCCTCACGGTGCTGGACACAAAACCAATCCCAGGACACAGGGCTGTGGCCTGACCCTAACTGACCCCTCTCTGAGAGCAAGTGATCCATTTTCCTTTAGACGCCTGGAAAAAACACTGCATCTCCTGTCCCTCTGCCTGCCAGCTGCTGGGGGCCAGGGGAAGGGGTTAACGGGAGTTAGGGTGTCACAGAGCTACAGGTTGGGGAGGGGGTGTGTAGGGTCGGAATGAGTATCTTAAAGTAAGCAGTGAGCCAGGCATCAACTACTAAATGTACTGAGACCTCATGAGCCTGGCATTATGTTCCCACCCATGGAAAACAGGCATAGGAACTGCACTCTAGGTGGAAGAGGCTTCTCTTAAATGGGAAGACAAGGCCAGGAAATAACAAGTGGAGGGGAAATACATCCACTAAATACAAAGCCAAGACAGTCCCTGCAGGGAAAGCCAGAGTAGGAAGGGGAGGGCTGTGGGGTCTTCTGAAGACTGGATGCTGAGTTGGTCCTTTAAGGATGAGTGAGATGAGAGCTGGCTGCTAAGAAATAAGGAGGACATAGATAGGGGGTTACAGAGGCAATGGCAGGAAATGGAGGGGAGAGCCTGTAGGGGAAAGTGTTGAGGGCTGCTTTAAGGGGGCCTGTCCCATAAGAGACAGGAGTGTCCTTGGCCTGGGCAGAGCAATAGAGATGCTTTGTAGGAGATGCCTGGGGAAAGGTATGGAGTGAGGATAGTGCTTGCTGCAGAGAGGAAGATAGTTAGCCCAGGAGCCTCTGTCCTCTCTGCAGCTCCCAGGCTCCAGGGATGTCCAGATGGGCCCTGCAGCTGGGGCTTCTACTCTCCTCTGTTGTGTGACGAGCATTTGATGTATACCTGTGTATACTGGAAACCCTCCTTCTCTTTTTGCGTTATAAAAAAACTTTGACCAGGGCTCTGCCTGTTTTCTTTCATAATATCACAGAAAGGGCACAGTATTGACAACAAAGGTAAATCCCAGCCTGGAGGCACATACTAGCAGAGTGGCCCCGGGGCCTGTATATTCTCAACAAAAGGAAGCTGACATACTAGCCCTGCCTGTCCCACACAAGCTCAGGAAATGAGTGTCAGGGAACTGTGTCCCAAGTTCTTTAGAGGACAGCCCTCAAAGCTGGGCTCCACCTCAGACCTAGGGTAAGACTCCACCCCCAGTGATGGGACAGGAAGTCTCTCCTTCTTTATTCAGAAATGCTTTTCCCCCTGCCCCCTTTAGGACTCAGTTTCCCTTTTCTACAGCACAGGGGAAATTGTTTTCTTCCCTTCTGGTTCCAGGGGCAGTAGTGGGGGTACACCTGGAAACTGTGTGTGGTAAGCCAGTCTGTGTACCTTCCAGGTGGAGGAAAGAAGCTACAGGAACCCAGATTAGGGACATCTGCCACGCTCTTCCTCCCTGAGTCTCCTGGAACCAACTCAGCTTCATTTATGCCCCTGCTCCCTGTGGTGGATGGAGACAGTTCCAGGGAAGAAAAGGAGCTGGTCCCCTTCAGGGCCTCACCCTGGCCTGTGCTGCATTTCCTTAGGAAGGAGAACAGTTTCCATTCACTGTAGTAAGCATGGCTAACCTGGCCAGGCCTACGGTGGGATGGGTGCTGTGCTAGGTCTCAGGCCCTGGAGCCTGGGCTCAGTATGTTCTGAACAGAAAAGAAATAGCAAAGCTGAAAAAAGCTGAGACTTTGCTGCAGAGCACAGAGGCACCAACAGCCGGAATTAGAAGCTGTCGCTTAGGGAGCTGAAGGCTGACAAGAGAAGGAACGAGGCAGGCAGGGGGCAGGCAGGCACTCTACACTCCCCCTCCCCTCCCACCTGCCCAGTCTCTCCTCCTGCACGCACCTTGGCTGGCAAAAGGGCTTCTTCCCAGAGGTGCCTGAATCTTGAGTCTGTCACTCTGTCTACAACTTTCCCCCTTCCCGGGTCCCTTCTACCCTCTTCAAGTGTCATCAGCCCCCTCACCCTGTCACGTTGCACCAGCTTGGCAGGGTTGGGTCTGGTGGCACGTGTCTGGGAGATCCAGAGAGCTGCTAGGGGGGTACAGGGGCGGGGTGAGTCAGCAAGGGATCTGGCACTGAGTCAGCAATGGGTCTGGGAAAGGGGTAGGGACCCATCTCTTTATGCAAAAGGTGAAACAGGCATGGCAAGTGGAAAGGGTACTTGGCTCTAACCCCACAGATACCCAGCAGGGATAGAACCCAGGTGCCCTTCACCTGTCCCAGTGCCCCAAGGGAGGACATCAACTCTTCCTCTGCACATCCCCCTGTGGCCAGAGACTAACTCGCCTCCAGGGCCCAGGGGTGGCATGCCCAGGGGGCAGCTTGTTCTTTTTTCAGAGGACAAAAAGCAGGCCTCCCTCATGGGAAGCTGTGCAGAGGCCCTTCCAGGAGGTGGGATTGCAGCCCCTTCCCAATTCCTGGGCCGCCCAGCTCCAGGACAGGCATAGTTCTGTCTAGCCTGGCAAGAGGTGAATGGAAACCAACTTCTCCTTGCCTTGAGCAGTCACTGGCAATGACTGGGGCTGTTGCCCAGTGGACTGCATTGGCTGTTGCTCTGGCTTTTGCTCACTTGTCTGACTGAATGAGTTCTTGTAGGCCTGGATCCCACCGCTGGGTGGGAGAACAGGGAGAGATGGGACTGCTGAGTGCCCAGCTGGAAAATTGATGTCAGGGCACTGGGTACACTGGTGGTATCAAATGTGTACAGGGGGTGGGGCTAGGTGACCAATGCCAGGCCTTAGTCCTGTGAACGAGCAGGTGCCTACACTCACCCTGCAGCCAGGGACCGGAAGGACCCCTGAGGTCAGGCCCTGGGAGGGATGGGGAATGGGGCTCCTGTTTATTTTCCAAAGGCACAGGTGCTCACAACTAATGACATCTGTTGTAACTCTGATAAGAAAACAACCTCTCCCAAGAATCACCCCACCCTAGCTCTCCCAAGCCAGTGCCTGTCCCATTTGGGATTTAGGACTGTACTATAGATACAATGAATGGCTATCTCTAAGGCCCCTGTAGTTGGTTTTGGGGTCAACCATAGCTGCTATAGGGGCTTGTGCACCTGACCACTCTAGATCTTCCTAAAGAAGCCCTCTAAAAGTTTGGGGATCCCTAAGAAGATGGGGGGCAGACATTTGCACTAGACTCTTCTGTCCCACCCCTGAGGGTAGAGTCAGGAAGGCCCATATCTGTGTGGGGGTGGAAAAGAGAGAAGTGACATCATTTTCCAGTGGCTGTGGCATCAGGTCCAGCAGAAGGGGGAGTGAATCTTTGTCATGTCCAGAGGCAGGGCCATTTCATTAGGCTCTAGAAGGGACCTCACCCTGGGTTCAGCTCCTAAGTGATTTTTTTTTTTTCCTAAGCAGCTTCATTTTGGGCCACTCTACTCCCCTGCTCGCCCCCCCCCCCCCCCGCTCCGTTTCCTAACCATAGAACAGAGCTGATATAGGCAAGAAATACTGGGTCAGGATCCTTTAGTAGAAGTAGGAAGAAGAAAAATAAATAAATCTTATAAATTCAGGGGAGCAAACAATGCTGCCCATATCAAGCAGCCTGAGTGTGGTACATGGTTCCCAGGCCTAGGAAAAGTGCCCATGAGGCCATCTAGCTTCCCTCCACCAGCCACAGCCCCATGTGTGTCATGGGCAAGGGACAGTCAGCTGAGGCAGCTTTCCATGTCAGCAGGTGATGAGGGCAGGGACCTCAGCTGGAATCCTGGGAGCAGCTGTGCCCAGGGAGCTTTGAGGTAGTGCCAGGCTCTGCTTCAAGGAGCTGACCTACTCAGGACAGACCTGAGATGTGGCCCAAAAGTCCAGGTGAGGTGTCCACATCCTAATAGGAGGGTCTGGCCTGTTTGAACCACTTGGAAAGAACTCTATTTCCTGCCTGTATCGCACGTCCTTAACAAATATATGACACTTATCCAGAGCCAAGGGGAAGGATGGGAACAAGAAGTGAGCTTGGAGAAGATTCTAGGTCCCCTGCCCTGGTGGTACCTGGTTTTTGCCCCTCCTCTAGCCTGGCTATTGAGGAGGGGGCTGCAGCTTCCAAAGGGACCCCAGCTTCCTGCACATCCTTTCTTCCTGGAGGATGGGGCCATGTCCCAGATAAGGGTCTGAACATCCTTGCTAAATGTCCCAGTGGGCTGGGGGCATCAGAGGCGGCTCTCCTGGGTGTCTGCCTTGTCTGTGAGAGGATCCTGTTCACAGGGCTCCTTGGAGGCCTCAAGGGCTCTCTCAGGCTTGTCCTCAGTCTCGGAGGGGAAGCAGCCCTTGAGGCAGGCTCTTACTGACTCCTTGACTTCGGCCTCCAGGCCCTCCATCCTGGCCTCATACTCTGCCAGGGCCTCCTGCTGGAACTGTGAGGAGAGCAAGGACCACCACCTGGCTCAGGAAGTGCTCTCCCCCTCCCCTGTACCCCCTTCCCTAGAGGGTAAAACAAGAAGATTCCCAGTCTGTTTAGAGCTCTAGGAGGTGGCTGGGAGGTAGGGGAGTGTAGAGCCCATCAGGGAATCTCTCAGGCGAGAGACCAAGAAAAGAGATGTACAGAGCTGCCCCACTGAAAAGGCCTTGACACCCACTGGTCAGGGATGATTGGCCCCTTCCCCTGGCATCCTGACTGGCAGCCCCTGGAGCAGGACCTTTTCCCACCCTGGAACCCATCCATCTGCACTGCGGCGAGGGCTACGTCTTGTCACCTTCTTTTCCATCTCCCGGATCTGTTCCAGGCAGGCTGCCTGCTTCTCCTCTAGCTTCTGCTGGTGCTGCTCCATGGTCTCCTTCATCTGGGTGGGAGTAAGAGGCAGAGAATTAGGGTGGTGCAGGCAGACAAGCCTGGGTTGGAATTCAACTCTAATCCTAACTAACCAGCTGTAAGACTTGAGACGGATTCCTTAACATTTGGGCAGTTTTTCAATTTTCTGGCTCACGGAATTGTGAAGGATTGCATGAGATAGTTCATAGCTCAATAGGTGGTCACCTGTTGTAGTCAGGCCCCAATAGATGGCAGCACCTGTTATTGTGCTCAGTGATGCCCAGGGGAGTTTCTGTCCATTCCCAGCAGGGCTTTCCTTCCTCTTTCCACTCCTTGGCACCTTAAGAGGCCCTCCTCACCCACCCCCTTTAGTGTCATCCCTCTCTGGCCAGCTAGCTCACAGGGTCTCCACACAATCTTCACACACAGGCCCCTCCTATCCCCAACTGCAAAGAAAGGACCTGGGGCCACTTCTTCCCACCTATGGAAGGAGAGTGTGTGTGGCAAGGACACAGCCCTTACATACCTGCTGGACAGCCTGCACCACTTCCTTGATGTGGGAGTTGTTAATCTCTCTCTTTAGCCTGTTGGTGTAATTAGAGTTATAGAAAGGGCTCCTGCAGAAAGGCAGAGCAATGGTATATCCTCAGGGTGCAGGCAAATGCAACCTCCGTTATAGGGGCAGGAACTAGTAGAGGGCCAGCAGGGTACCCAATGAAGATGAAGAGGGCAGGGTGGTGGGGAGAGGGAGGGGGTGGAGGGGAGGGGGAGAAATGACCCAAACATTGTATGCACATGTGAACAAACAAAGAAAAAAAAAAAAGATGGAGAGGGCCATTGGGAAGCCCTCAGCCCACTTCCTCAAAAAAGCACACTGAGCTAAAGACATCCATGGGGAGCACAGAAGGGAAGCAGAACACCTCACTCTGTATGTTTGATTCTTCCCTCTATTCTTTCTCTCTGCTCAAGTAGTGTTGGCATTTGTGTTTTGCCTAAGGAGGACACTCTCTGATCAGAGGTGACAGAGATGGGATCAACTCTTTCAAGAGCCAAAGGAAAGACCTAGCACTGGGAAACAAGTCAGGATCCCTTGTGGGGAGCCCTTCTCCACCATGGATTGGTCTTGCTCTGCTTGGGGTCCCCCCTTCAGGGCTCACCTCTCCTGAGCCATCTTGTCTGTGGTGACTTTGGTCATGGCCTGTATTCGCTCCAGCCTCTTGGCCTCCAGCTTTTTCTTCATGTCTTTGGTGTCACTGCAAGAAGACAGGTATGATGAGGAAGATGTTTTGCTTGGTGGAGCCCTTGCTGGGAGGCAGGGATAGTGTGGCAGGGAGGCAATCATACATTTCTGAGGTCTCCTTGAAGGTCTTCAGCTCAGAGGCCTGTTTCTCTTTGGCCAGCTCTATCATCTTGGCGATTTGCTGCAGGGAAGGAAGATAGGGCTTAGTGAGAAGCCTTTCCCTGTGCAGAGAGGGTGGATTTAGCAGGATTGTGCTCTGTCCTCTGCCTGGCACCTCAGCCACGTGTTGCTCCTTGCGCTTCAGGATGCACCGGTGCTGCTCCTCACCCTGCAGCTGCAGCTCCTGCTCCAGCCTGTCCTTCAGCTCCTGCACGCGTGGGTCTGCACCCTCGATGCTCTCGCTGGGCGCAGCCCCCGCGGGCTCCTCGCTGGAGGGCACGATCCTGCGGAGGCCAACGTGCGGACAGGCCCTGAGCCAGCGGCCGCCTTGCATGGGGGTGAAGGGCAGGGCACCCCTGTGGACCGTACCTCTTCTTGCGGGAGCCCTTGCCAGGGCGGAGCTTGCAGATCCCGGCCGGCGGCCCCAGCTCGGCCAGCTGAGCCACACCGCGCTGCAGCAGCTCCTCCCAGCGCCGCACGCCACGCCGCTCCAGCTCCCGCAGCTCCTTCTCGTGCCGCCGCTGCAGCTTCACGACGCCCTTCAGCTCGCGCAGCTCCTCGGGGCTGGCTGTCTGCGGCTCTGCGGAGGCCTGGCTGAGTCGCACTGCCACCTAAGCTGCTCTCTCCCCCACCCTACCCCGCCCTGCTGAGCCCCAGGAGCCCCAAGCCCTTCCCAGGTGCATCCCCAAGATCATGGGGTCGACAGGCCTTACCCACAGCCTCTTTCGGCGCCTGCTCCTTGACTCCAGCTGCTGCAAGAACACAGGATGGGCTGGCAGATGTCCTGGGGACCCCTTGACTCAGTCGAGCTTCTGTGGGGAGCAGCATGGGCCCCCTACAGCCCTTACCCTCCCCAGGTGGAAATATTAGTCTTAGGGGATCTATGGGTGCAGTAGGAGAAGCAGAGGACCCTCCAATAGTTAGGTGACCAGAAGGAAATACTTACCTGCTGATCCATTGCTTGCTGGGACTGACGACCCATTGACCTGGCGGGAAACTGGACTCCCAGATGGGAAGAGCTTCTGTGTAGGAAGAGCCAGTTTAAAAGATGGTTCTAACAGCCCTCCTTCCTGAGCAGGGGAGGCCTTACCTGCAGCTTACCCACAAACAGACCTGGAAGGGTTCCCTGTCCTCTCCCACCCCAGAATATACATCTCTGATGGGCCTCAATTTAACATGCGAAGCAAGTTTGTAAGAGCTGTTGTGAAACCCAGATACCCATAAGGCCACTGACATGACACAAGCTTGTATTCATTGAAGGAAGCTTAGGAATGAGGCATCAATCACCTGTAATGAACACTTTTGGTTTATGGCTCATTATAGGTGTGCCCCTGTAATGTGCCCTGCACCCCCCACCCCCCAACCCACACAGGAGGGCAAAACTCCTGGAAGTTCCTGGCAGGGATTCTGGCCATACAGACCTCAGGCAGACTTCCCGTGGCTTCCTTGAGCTTGACAGACTTCTTATCGTGGGCACTGAAGTACTTGATGGGGTTGGTGAGGGCCACAGTGAGATCTGGGGGTACAGGCATTACCTGAAGACAGATATTGAGGGGTCCTCTGTCCTCACCCACCCTAGGAGCCTGGAGGCTGGCTTGATGAAGAAAAAGAGGACTAGACAGCCTGTGGCCTCTGCTATGCCATGGGCCTCCTACCTGCCCAGGTGTCAGGGACGTAGTCCTTCAGCTCCAGGAAGACGAAGAGTGCAGGCATGGTGAGGGGTATGTTGCTCTCACTGTGCAGGCACAGATGGTGATATCCTGTTGGATGTGATGGGGTACAGTGAGCCCGGGTGCATTTCTGTCTAGCACTGCACACAAACATCCTGTACTAAAGACTTCAGGTTTTAAGTGAGAGAGGCCAGGGTCTGAGTCTGACCTTGAGCAGATTACTTTAACTCTCTGAAACTTCCCTCATCTGTGAAATAGGGATAATAGCTTCTACCTCATATGGTTATTATGAGAATATATTATAAGACCTTTGCATATTTCGAGTGCCCATAGGTGTTAGCTGCTCAGGAAATTGTACCAGCGGTTTCAGAAAATCATGAACATTCTGTTAGGTGTGCAGAGTTCCCACCTCTGTCAGGTTCCTTGAGAGGTCCTATCCCTACTCCTTAGAGCTCATAACACAGAGGGGTTAAGTGAGGTCTTAGGGCCTCCTCTCTGAAGTCATCCCACCCTCTACGCAGGTCCCATGGGACCAGTGAAGAACCCTTTTCTTTACCAGAATTAAGGGCATTGATGGGGATGATGCGGTGTCCAAGAAATCTGTTGCTTTCTTCCATCACAGCCACCCTGAGGGAAGCCAGCTCAGGCATCAGGATCTGAGGAGAGTTTGAGACAGGACAGGCTGGAGAGGTGAGGAGAGCCAAGCTGCCCCCCTCACTGCCTCCAGAAGTCTTAGTGTCAGGGTGAGAACACAGCAGGTGTTACCAGATTTGGTGAGGACAGACAGAGCACACATCCTAGGGCACAGGCAGAAATATCCTATGCCATGGCTGGTCTCACACTGGGGAGAAGGCCTGGATATGCAGCCCAGGCTGTGGGTCCTGGTGCAGATAGCCCTTGGCAGCTTCACCAACCAGTGTCTAATGGAGGCAAAGACCTTCATGGTCCTATAGAACGTCAAGTTCACATTTCTGCCTGTAATCCTAACATGTGCATGAGCAGGTGCACACACACACAAACTCACAACCTGCCCACCGAACAAACTTCTGTAAACTTGCATCTGGGACTCATAAAACAGGAGGGCACAGGTGGGAGCTGAGAGAGGAAGAGGACAATCAAGAACACCCCTTTATTTATTTCCTCTTAACTCTAAGCAGAGGCCAAGAACTAGGGACAGACCCTAACTTCTGCCCTGCCCTTTCCCCCACCTTCTCAAAGACAAAGGGTTCCTCCTTCCAGACAGGATTGATGGAGTTGGTATTGGGTGACAGCTTGGTGCGATAGCGCCTCTTGGGGTCCCCTGGAAGGCCAAACAGCTCCACTTCCACATAGGTGCGCACACTGCGTTCTGACAAGAACTGCCCAGAGATCACCTGGGGGGTGAGGACCCAGAGGAGGCCAGCATCAGATCCCCACCCAGGCTTGTCTCCCAAGCGCCTGGGGCCCCTGGCTCCTTATAGTAGAAGCATCAAGCATCGAAGCATCTGTTCTTGGCTATTGTGAAGAGCTCCATTCAGCTCTGGCCACCAAGAAGAGGCTGTATGGCTCAAGGTTACAGCTAAGCTCTGAGGACCAGCCTGCTTCCAGCATTCAGGGAAGAGGTGGGCTGCCCCTCCTCCCTCCCTAGTCAAGAAGGGAGCAAGGCCCTCCCCCCTGGCCTGGGGCCTGGGCTCTTGCTGCCCTCCTCTGCCCACTGCTCTCCCCTCCCCCACCCCATCTCAGCCCTTCCCCTTGGTTTCCATGGGGACCAAGAGGCAGCCTGAGGAGGAGGTAGTTTCCAAGGCAACTTGCTACTGCACAAACTGGCTGGGGCTGAAGTCTTCAGGATATCAGGGGAGGGGGAGGGAGGAGGGATGGCCTCATGGTGCAAAGTTTCCAGGAGGGCTAGAGCCTTGCCGTAATGGAAAGGGTGGTGGCTACCACCACATCGATGCTGTCCACGGAGAAGGGATTGAACTGCTTGTCCGGTCGGCGCATGAACTCATGCTTGAGGAGGTAGCCACTCTGCCCATTAAACTCGAACAACGCCATGTTCTGCTGCATGGGCAGGTCTGGGGAGCAAGGGCGTACAGTGAGGAAAGCCTTGCTCTGGGTCTGTGCCCAGTTTCAAGTTCCTATTCTTCCCAGCCTTTCTTGTCTTGGGAACAGACAGGTTTGGAAGGGCGAAGGTTTCTCATCCCAGCCTAGTTCCTTGGGGTGTCTCAGCTCTAAGGAAGATACCTGAGAGATTGAGAGGTGTCTCATCTCACCTCTCCATAACCTGGGGTCAGCAAGGAGCAATGACACAACACAATGGGTGTTGGGGCAGGTAGAACAGGTGTTCCCACAGACACACCCAGGTGGAGCAGCCAGCGCCCCCCCGCCCCCCCCACCCCGGTTTCTTCCCATACATGTTCTTACATGAGTAACTGTATTCACACCTGGAGCCTACACAGACTTCACACTCTGTCTGTGCTAAGGACCCCCAGGGAAGGGTGAAGGTGGGAAGGGCAGAGCCTGGCAGAGGGTCCTCAGGGCCTGAGACTGCCCTCACCCATGGTCTGGAAGTTGAGGGCTACCATCTGGCAGCCAGCGTTCCAGAACATCTGGGGCATGTAATTGGAAGAGTCCATGCGGGTGCCCTTGGGGTAAATGCGGCTCATCTGGCGCTTGTTGTAGCTGTCCGTGAGTATAGGAGCCTGACAAAGACCACCTGTACCAGGAGGACCCAACAATCCACCCAGGAAGCCCTGCCCCCAGCCCCCACACCCCAGCCAGGGCCCCTAGTTAGTGCAGCCTCAAGGATACTCCACAAACTGCACCGAGGCCTTAGAGAGCAGGTCATAGGCCTTGAGCTCCGTGAAGGAAGAGATGATGTAACTTCGGTTCTTCTCTGTGCAAGGGGGAAAGGGACAGGCAATCCATATCAGACTGTCCTCCCATTTGGGACAGCCCCCTCCATTACAGAAATTCCTCCAACCTAGTGTCTCCATGGATGCCTGAGGGGTTAGGAGCCAGGGGTTAGGAGGGAGGTGTGGGCAACAGGGTGTGCTAGAATAAAGAGTCTTCACAGTGGACACGTATGGAATGGGACATGTGCCATGGTCCTGGACAGGGAGGGACCCATGCAAGCCATGGATGGGCACGGAGGGTGTGGGGAACGTGCTGGACTGAGCCCAGGGTGTCGGGAACATGCGGTGTACACGCACAGAGTATGAGCACATGCCGTGATGGAGTAGGGGGTGAGGCACACAGCAATGGTTAAATGCATGGAGGCAGATTTGTATGCTAAGGATAGAACGCTCATAAGCACACCCATGGGTGTGCCCAGGTGGCGGCACAAACTGTGCGTTCAGGGATGGGCAGTAGGTGTCGGAGAGGTCCAACTGTGCACAGGAGTATGCAGAAAGAGGTGCTTGCATTGGGGACATGCACAGAGGGTGAGAATGCTCTACACATCTGTCACCAGGAGATCAGAATGAGCACAAAAGGGAAAGGGGACAGTGTGGACTGGTAGCTTTCTCTGCTTTCCACCCTGTTCTGGGAAATCGCATCCCCAGGCCAGGGCTTCTGGACCTGGGCCAGCCCTAGGTACAGGTCAGCCCTGGGAGCCACAGAACCTACAAGAGCCTGCAGGAGCCCCAGGCAGGCCTGGCTGAGGTGGCCTGTCATAATGACTTGCCTGCCACCGACACATTCCAGAGCATTCTGCTTGTTGCCAAGTTCCTCAGTACAGTGCTGGGAGTCTAGGAGCCACTGCCACTTGAACGAGCCCTTTGCCTGACTCCTCAGCTGGGTATTTATAGACAGGGCCCCAAGTCCAAGGAGGGGCAGGTCCCCCTTCCTATTCCCCAGCCATCAAGCCACTCCGGTACAATGACACCTTCCCATGCACCCAGCCTGCCCTCAACACCACCCCCACCTCCACCCCTGCTCACTTACGGGCAGAGAGCTCAAAGGAGACAAACTTGGTGGGCTGGATGTAATTGACGAGGCTGGACATCTCCTCATAAGCTGTCACCTCCAGGCTCGCTGTGCCCTAGATAGCAGAGAGAGAGTGGATGAAGGGACAGTGCAGAGCTCACCTGGAAGGTTCCATGGTAGAGGGTGGAAAAGGGGCTGAAGACCATCCCCAGGCACCTCATCCGACTGCATCTTCTTCATCTCTTCTTCATCCAGGTTCCCTGACTCCTCCTCCTCCTCTTCCATCTCCTCCAGCTCAGCCCCTTCCTCAGCAGCCCACACTGCCACACACAGCTCTATCAGCATGGACTCTTCTATTTTCCAGGTGACCCCACTTCCCAACCCCCTCCTCTGGCTAACTTACCTGTGTCCTCCCCCGAGGGGGCACTGGGAGGGCAGCTGTCCTCAGCCTCCCCATCAGGCTCCTTGCTGGGAACCGTTGAACCAGAAAACTGGTTCTTCTTATTCTTGATGAGGATTTTGCCCCGGAGGTCCTCAGGGCTGGGCAGAGGGACACCTGGTTTCAGCTGTGGACAGGGAAGAGTGGGTACTATTGCCTCTCCCTCAGAGTGTACTCTGAGCTCCCCAATATCAAGCTGTGCTCCCCTGCCTGGACCTGCTTCTCTTGCCTCACCTCTCACTACTAATCAGGTTTCTCCTGATCAATGCTGTCTTTCACCTGTCCATCTGCCCAAGAATGCCCTTTCTCCCACTCACTGAGATGAGTCCATTTTACCTTCCAGGTTTTGGCTTTGGCTCATTTCCTCCAGGAAGGCCTCCCTGATTCCCTAAACACCAGAGCAGGAACTCCCACAGTTCACTGGTTGTAATGGCCTGGTTACTTGTTCATCTCCTCACCAGAGCGTTAAGAAACCTGAGGGCAGCAACTGTGTGTTTGTGGTGGTGGTAGGGGGGTGTTTTTGTTTTGTTTAATTTTATTTGTTTGTTTGAGATAGTCTCCCTATGTCACTCAGGCTGGTCTTGAACTCTCAATCCTCCTGCCTCAGTGCTAAGATTACAGATGTGTGCCAACATTCCCAGATTTGACTGTGGTTTTTCCTCTAACATACCCCAAAATCTAGCACACTGACTGACCCATGGTTGGTGACAGGGTCTCAGCCTCACAATTCAACCAGTGTCTTTGGTCTCCTAACCTGGCCCCCAACCTATTGCCAGACCCGGAATTCACTCACTGGGAACTTTTCCAGGGGCTCTGTGAGCAGCATATCCCCAAACATGGTCCGGCAGTATTCGGCCATTTTAGCTTGTTGGCGGGATCTGCAGGGAGCAAAAGTGTGTGTGGTGGGGGGTTCAGTAGCTCAGCCCCGTCCTCTTGTCCCTGCTTTTGTGCCCTGGATAACCCAGATCAGGGGCCCAGAAAGTGAGGGGAGGCAGGGACTCAGGCAGGAGACCCTAAGATCCCAAGGAAGCTGTGTTGAGACCAAGGAGAGAGCTAGGTAGATGGCTAGAGGCTGGGGACAGTTAGTGGGGAGGCAGGTGCAGCCAGGAGACTGGGGACAGGTAGAGGATGAGGCTCCAAATAGGCCTGAATACGCACGAGTCCACGTGGTTTTCAAATGACAGGATGACAGGATAGGGGGAGGTCTTAAAGGCACTTTCTGCAATTGCTTCAATTGCTTCCTGGAGGAAAAGGGGACTCAGTGGCGAGGAGGACAGTGTTCTGGCTGCCCCTTCTCCAGTGGCACCTTTCCCCACCTCCCAGGTGCAGTATACACATACGACAGGGATGGCCACTGTTGCCTGCTCATCTCCTCTGTCCCCTCAAGTCCTCACACTGGCCTCTCACTTTACTCCCCTCAAACTCAAAGAGTTCTGAACCAGGTCTTTCCCAAGTGCTACTGCTACCAGCCTCCATTCACCAAGGCCCACCTTAAACAAGATGTCAGTGGTCATGGTAAAGCCGTGTGTGATAATGGGCTCCTCGTCAGGGGGCTTTCCCTTCCAGCAGTCCAGCTCCACACAACGGCAGCCCGACAGCAGCACCTGGCGGTACATCTCAGCCGAGGAAAGGCCTGAGAACTGGCCAGCTGAGCCAGGAGGGGGAGAAGCAGGGCATCACTCAAGGGCAGGATAGCTGCCCACCTATCACGGTCTGTCCTGCTAGGCAGGGCCAGCAGCAGGTGGGCAGCGCCTGGGAAGGCTCCAGGGAACAGGAGCAGCCCCCATCAGAGGCCAGCTTGGCGGTGAGGTTGCCGGGGCCCACCTGTCAGATAGGTGTTGTGTGAAGAGTTGATGAAGTAGTGATTGAGTGGCTGTGTCATATCTTGGTGGAGCAGCAGTTTGTCTTGGGCCAGTACACTGTTCTCTGGTCCACAGAGAAACCAGACCATGCCCTCGGGTGACAGCTGGCCTGGAGGACAGGGAATAGCTGTCAGGCCTGCAGCCCAGTTGCCAAGGCAGGACAGGATGTAGGGGTGTGGGGGAGGGGATGGCTCCCTGAGTTCTCACCCCTCTGCACGTTGATACCGCTGGGCTCATACTTCTCAATGAGACCCTGCACCTGGTCAGGCCGTGCTGGTGGGAACAGCAAGGAGTTGAGCCGAGAGTCCCGCTGTTTCTTGTTGATGAATTTGGTCAGGTGTTCCTTGGTCATGTAAGGTTTAGCTTTAGCATGGCTGTAGGCCAGAGAGACGAGCACAGGTCCATATCCCTTGGGCCTGGAGGCTTGGACAGTGAAGCCTCCTGATTTCCAGAAGGGCAGGTGGGAGGAGAAGATTGCTAGCCACCACCCCTTCCCCACTCCAGGCCCAGCCCAAGAAGCTCACTGGGAAGTGAAGATCTCATCGATTTCTGGCCGAGGACAGAGGCTCATGAGGAAGCTCTTGTACACGGACTCTGGGAAGTCCTCAGGATTGATAGCATCATTCTGGGGGAAGAGTCACCTTGTCACCCTGCCTCCACCTACTCAGAGCTAGGACCTACAACCCAGGCCCAACTCTGGGCAGGAGGACTGGGTCAGAGAGAGTGCTCAAGGCAGATGGACAGAGAACACCAGAAGCACCTGCTTCTTAAGGTCTGATTCTTGCTCAGAGAGCATGTTCAGCTGGTTCACTTTAATCCTGGCTTTGGACAGGGGCTAGTGTCCTGGCTGGGATTGGATTGGTACTACAACAAGGAGGAAAAGAGATCAGAAGTAAATGGTGCTGCTAGCCAGGGCAGTGGGCCATCTTTTTTTCTTTTAAAATAAGGACAAATTTTCAAAAAGAAGCAGTTTGAATATAAACATGTATGCACCTAACAACAGAGCCCTAACAAGAAGCAAGAACTCAGAGAACTGAAGGGAGAAATAGACACTTCAACAATACTAATTGGGGGATATAGCTCAGTGGTAGAGTGCATGCCTTGCATGCACAGGGCCCTGGGTTCAATCCCTAGCAGTACAAAATAAATCTCTCTCTCTCTCTCTCTCTCTCTCTCTGTCTATGTGTGTCTCATAATTGGAAATAGCAAAAGCACAAGAGACAAAAAAAGATAAATTAGAATTCATTAAAATTTAAAACTTTTGTGCTCCTAAGGACATCACCAAGAAAACGAAAAGAATGGGAGGCTGAGGCAGGAGGATCTCAAGTTTGAGGCCAACCTGGGCTACAAAGTGAGACCCTGTCAAGAAAGAAAGAAAAAGAAAAGAAAAGCCAACCCCAGAATGGGTTAAAATATTTGCAAATGAGGTATCTGTTAAGTGAAAATTCAACAATAAAAAGATAACCCAATTGAAAGATAGACAGTGGATTCAAACAGCTCTTTCTGCAAAGAAGATATATAAATGACCAATAAACACATGGAAAAATGTTCAGCATCATTAGTCATTAGGGAAATGCAAATGAAAACCACAAGGAGATATCACTCCACTCCCACTAGCAAGTCATAAATAAAAGACAGACTAACAGTGTTGGTGGGATGTGGAGAAATTGGAGCTGGTATACAATGCTGGTGGGATTGGAAAATGGTGCAGCCACTTTAGATAACACTTTGGCAATTCCTCAAAACATAAAATAGAGTTTTACCATATGACCCAACAGTTTTACCTGGATGTATAAATCCAAGAGAATTGGAAACATATCCACACAAAATCATGTACAAAAGTGTTTATGGTAGCATTATTCATAACAACCAAAAGTGGAAAAAATCCAATGTCCATCAATTAGTGAATATATAAAATATATTATACCTGTACTAATACATGCTACAACATGGATGCACCTGGAAGACATTATGCTAACTGAATAAAGCCCATCATCAAAGACCACATGTTATATGCGATGCATTTACAAGAAATGCCCAGAATAGGCAAATTTACAGAAATAGAAACAGAAGATGAATGGTAGTCAGGGATTCTGTGCCTTTGCATTTTGTTCTCCCTAAAAGCATTCAATGTCTTTCGGGATCATACAGTAACGCAAACATCAGTCCTAGCTTAATGCAGAGGGTGTGAGCAACAGAGACTGATTTTATCTCCCCTAGCCCATCTCTGTTCTGGAGCTGTAGCTCTGAGCAAAGATAGGCCAGTGGCTTCTACCGGCAGCAAGGAAAAGCAGCTGAATCAGGAGGATGAAGCTAGGGTGGGAGCACAGGAAGCAGGAGAAAAGGAGGGTGGATGTGACTCACAGCAGGTAAGTGGTTTAGGCTAGAGGGACCATGGCTAGGGCCCATTCCCATCCTTTCCCCACCCATGGTTGGATCCAGTGTGGCTGACTGCACTTGGGGGGCCATCAGCTCTACAGAATTGGACCTCTGGAGGAAAAAATCCTCCTGGGAGTCACAAGGACAGGTGACCAGCAGAGTTGTAGCTCTATTCATTTACGGAGAAAATGCTCCGTGGGGTGCAGGTTGTGACCTACACAAGGGCACTGGCCAGCGTGGACAGAGGCCTGAGATCTGCTCCTTCAAGCCAGGTTTGAACCCTGGCTCAGGGCCGTATCTACCCAGAGGGCTCCTTTTTTGGTAATTCACATAAGGCACCTCATGTGGTGACCCTGCTTACAACTTGTAATTAAAAATTAATTGCTTAATTAAAAAGAAGGTAGGAAATGTGTCTCTGCGTCCTGGCAGCTTCCAGTCTTGCTTTGTTCTTCTTCCCCACACCCTGCAGAACTGGGTCCTGTCAGATCCCCGCAGACTGTCTGCTGTTCCTGCTGACCTTATCTAGCTCCCCAGGCTGGAAACATTCACTCTCAACCTCTACTCCCAAGGTAGAACAATGCACGCCATTTTTGCTGCAGTGCTGACCATGTCCACTAACCACTGCCCACCTCCGCACACCACCAGGTGAATGAGATGCAGAGGACCTTCTCTGAATCCAGCCCTCACCCCCTTGCCCTGGTCCCACCTCTGTGACTAGTATCAGTACCCACAGGCTCTAGGATTAATTGGCTTTTCCAACTACCAATGGGATGGTGATGTCATCCTCTCACCACCACCATTACCTGGCTGAGCTGCTGTCTGGTGGGAGTGACCATACTGGGGTAGGGAACCACTCACCTTGCCTTTTGCAAGGTGGCAGGCACTGAGAGCAGCTTCCACTCGCTTTCGGTCAGCAGGAAACATCTGGAAAAAACTGAAGGAGCAGAGAAAGACACCAGGCAGGGAGGAATCATGCCTGAGGAGGAAGGTTTGGGGAGCTGGGTAGAAATATGGGGAGGGATTTGGGGAGACTCACTTCTTCACTGGAATCTTCCCTTCAGGGTTCAACTGCATCTTGAGCTTCACCAGGCTGGAAGGGGCAGAAAGCAGCAGATCAGGCCAGGGACTGCCATGCTCAGTCCCAAGGGCTAAGGCCACTTGTGCAGGCTCTTACATCTTATCCAGGAAAGTGCTGCGGGGGGCATTGGTTGTCGCTGGGTGCTTAGCCAAGGCCAGTACATCCTCAGCCCAGTCCTGCAGGACCACAAATCCTGATGGTTAGGTGTCTGACCACAGGGGGCCCCGGACCACCCCTCAGCCCAGGCCTGTGTCTCTCAGAAAGTCCAGACTATCCTAGGTATCAAGACCCAAGTCAGGTGCTCCCTGTGTACCTTGCCCACATTCTCCTTGTAGGAGACGAAGTTGTGAAAGGTGAGATCCACCATGTCAGGGCCCGACACCACCGTGAGGGTCTTCAGCAGGAAGTGGTTGTCTGGAAAGTCCATGTTGAAGACATCCCGGAGCTTCTGGCTCTGTAGCAAGTGGTGACATGGTGAGGATTGGGGGGTGTGCTCTCGTTCTGGCCTGAAGAGGTGCTCCCTACCCACTCCCCAGCCACTTAAATTGCTGACACTGGGGCAGAACCCCATCACCATCCTAAGAACCAAAGGCTTCAGTCTGTCCTTATCCTTGGTTCTAGCAGGTGTCTCAGGAAGGAGAGGCCTACAGGAAGAGATTAGCTCAAGCAGTAGGGCCCGGGAGTCCTTCCTATTTTTGAAGGTAGATTATTAGCTCCCAGAGTCAAAAAATCCTCCAATTTTCTTGCCAGCATGAGGCAAAGACAGGCGAACTAGCTGGTGGGGGTAATGGAAGTGACACTTCTCAGATAGTCTGGGGTGCTCTAGGGCAGGAGCTGGCCCTTCCTCCCACATCCTTGCCATCTCGGCCCCTGGTGTCCAGCTCCCAAACTCAGAACCCAGGCAAGCCCAGGAGCAGCCATGGCCCTTCCTTGGCTCAGGCTGGGGTCCTTGCTGCCCTGCCCAGGAACCATTTCCCTTGTTCCAGAGACTAGGCTTCCACCCCTGCCCTTGCCCTGTGGTGCCGGTGGGCTACCTATGGGCCTACCTACCTTGGGTATCTTGGCAAACTTCCCAAAACGGGTGTCCCGGATGCTAGTGATATCAAGAAACTCCATTCCTGGAGGGGGAGCAAAGAAAGGATGTGGAACAAAAAGTTCAAGAATGAAGTACAGAGGGCTGGCGAAGTGGCTCAAGCAGTGGAGCACCTGCCTAGTAAGTGTGAGGCCATGAGTTCAAACCCCAGTACCACCAAAAAAAAAAAAAATGAAGAACAGGAAGCAGAGAACTTTGCTATCCCTTCAAATCTTGGCCAACTGCCCTTTCTAGGTGCTAAGATTGCCTGGGGCTACTTGGGCCCCACCCTTCTCTTTCCACTCACCAGGTTAGCCATCTTCACGGGGATCTTCTGCCCTGCCTCTTGGTCCTTCCCTTCCCTAGGGCAGGAGCTGTGGCCTATAACTTCTCCTCCACCACCCTAGGGTCTCCCTAGGCTCCCTTCCCTTTCTGCTGTCTGGCTGCTGAGACCTTCCTCTGATCCCTGAGCCCTCAAGTGACACAGAGCCACTAGCAGAGCATCGCACTTCAATAGTGACTCTTTGTCTTTCCCTCTCTCTCCAAGGGATGCAAAGGCTGGAGCATCTGGGCCTCAGGCAGCCATGGGTTGGAATGACTGGATCTGCCCTCCCAAACAAAACACTCCTGCTATAAGAGAGCCCCAGAAGCCACTATTCCAGGCCATTGTCTACCCCTTCCCCAGCATCCATGCCTCCACCCTGCGCCATCGGGAGTCTGGCTGGGCTCAATGGATAAGGTAGGAGCTCAAATAGCAGGGGCCATCTCACCTTACTCTGATATGTCCAGTATAAATAATAGCCCTTGGGATCCACGCGGAGGATAACCGGGGAGGCTATTGTGGTTTCCTGCAGAAAGAAGGAATCAGATCTCTGCTCTGAGCCCTTTGGCCAAGCTTCCCTGGGCCAGGCCAGGGGTTCAAGGGTCATCATCTTCCTAGGAGTCTGAAGGCATTTCCCTTTGTTGTCTAGAGCTAACAGTGGAGGGAGTGAGGTTGGATATGTTATTCCTGAAAGAGGCTCCCCTCTAAACCCAAGTAGAGGTTCTCACTGTAGACCTCAAAGGAGGTCTTGAACCCTACCTCTACCCCTTCCATCGACTGCCCCACAAAGACACCAAGTGCCCTCCCGCCACCAAACCAAAGCATGCAAACCTCCTTGGTCCAAAATACTTTCAAGGACCTGCTCTGCCACACCCTTTCAGTAAACCCTTCTCTGAAACATGCTGTAACAATCGGGGTGTGTGGCAGGGAGCTAGTTCACAGACCTAGAAGCATATCCAGTAAGGTCTCCAGGGCAACAAGCCTGAACTACACCATGGGCTTGGTGTGTAGTACTTGAGCTTGGAGTTTGCTGAGTGAGTAAATGATTGAATGAACAAACGTGCATCCTAAATTCCTGTTCTGCTCATGTAGACTCTCTGTTATTTTAATAGTCTTTGCATAAATATATATGTAAAACAAGGTATTACTATTGGACGTTTCAACAAGGCATGATAATTGTATGCCAAAGCAGACCAAACACAGAATCTTCCAAAGCAATGGTCAAAGGAAGACTCCCACATCAGAGCGGGTAGAGTATGGGGGGGAGGAGAAGATTTTGTAAGGAAGCCAATTTGGGAAAAAGTTGTGACGTGAGCCCCATTCCTTATGGGAGAATCAGGATGCCTGATCTCTGACCTGAAATCTAGTGAGGGGTTTCAACCCTACTTGGAGAGCAGGTGTGGGGCACAACAGAACAGGGAAACCCAGCAGGTGGCAGATGTCCTGACTCTGTGAGATGCAGTACGCAGATGGTCATGTGTTGGAGGAGTCGTCTATACCCCCAGAGGAGTCTACACCCCCAGAGTCTATACCCCCAGAGTCGTCTACACCCCCAGAGCAGGTTGGGGCAGTGAATGTATGAGTATTTGCTGGGGTCCAGAGTGGGCTCAGAGGGGAGAGAAAGGCAAAGGCCACTGGAAGATAAAAGTGGTAATGAGAGGCTGAAGAAGTTATTGTGAGTGACCCTAAAATAGAGATGTCAGGGCCTCAAGCAAGAGAACCCCAGTCATGGGGGGAGGACCTCCTAAGAATCATCCAAAATGTCTACCAGAGAAAGAATAAGCTCTAAGCTGCTGCCAGGCTCGGAAAGCCTGAGTCAGTTTATGATAGCACCCATTCAAGAAAGAGGTCTGTTACCCCTTCCCACCTCCCACCCTGTGCCCCAATCTGAGAGGGACCTGGAGAAGGAGCAGGTCCCACCACAGCCCCCTTGAAACCAGTCTTGGAGGGAAGAGGGCAACATGGAAGGTTGGAGTTCTGAATCTAATTCGTTTCAGAAATTAGACTGGGTTTTGTGGTGACCAAAGGACTGTGTATTAACCATGGGTGAAGGTCATGACTAGCAGCTTGTTGAGTTTCCTCTCACAGCTAGGAGAAGAGTTTTTCTCCTCAAAGTTGTTGGGAAGGGGCTGTGGAAACTAAATAGAATGGGGGTTAGTTGCATCCTATGCATTGTGCCTATTCAATGTGGTGTCACAGACTCCTGTTACCTTCGAACTAGGCCAAAAGCAGTCTGAGAGCAACGCCGGTCTCTCAGGTGTATGTGTCCTATGACCAGACATTGCTGCTCATGCAAGTCAGGATCTAGAAGATATGCAGTGGGAGAAGATCCTACCCCAGTGGCCACTCAGTTTATACACACTGCCCAGAGGAACTGAGAGAGGCCACTTCGCTTTTCATTCTGAGTCACTTCCCTCATCCCATAGGCTCCTGGGACAAGCTACCTCCAAGTCACAACCATGCCACATGAACCACAACACTCCCAGGGAAACAGAAAGTATCTCACCACAGGACCTCCTCCCCAGTCATGGGAGCTGTGAAGGGCCTACACCCATAACCTGGACAATCAACACTTGGCTCCCCCCGACCCCCCCCAGCCTTCATCACTCTTTCTAGGACCAGCCTGCCTCTCTCAAGCTGGGCCAGCTCAGCTGCCTCCTCTCCCTGAAGGACAGTCCCCACACTGCTCTCCTCCCTGACCCAAGCATCCCCAACCATTGACAATGTTTTTGGGGTCCAGAGGGCCAGAGACTGAGAAGTGAGCCCAAGTTTAGGGAGGAGCAGACATGGCAGAGTTTGGGGTGCAGGGCAAAGCAATGCAGGTGACCTCAGAGGAGGAGTCGAGCCACGCAGGAGGAAGCAGAAGTCAACTGGTTCCTTTCCAGGCCCCTGGGAACTGGCCCTCCAATTTTCACTTGGGTCCAGCCTTTGGTAGCTGCCTCCACAGCTGCTCAGGGGAGAGCAGGGCTTCTCTGGGAAGGGCCCGATGAGCCCCATGGGGAAGGGTGAAGGAGGTAGATCTTGGCCCCCTGACAGAGCAAAGGCAGGGTATTTGTGCTGGGAAAGGGGGGCCTGACTCACCTCTCTTTCTGGCCCTGTCTCAGCTCTAAGAGGGGTGTGCTTTCCTCCCACCTACATTGAAGGCAGGAGCAGCAAGCCCTGTTCTTCCTGGAGGTTTGGTGGTGGACAGACCCAAAGAACCTTCTCACTCCTAGACACAGAGGCTGGGCCCAGGAGCCAGGGACACACACCCTCACCCCACGCTTGTTTATCCAGGCTGTTGGGCCAGCTGCCTGGCCAAGTCACACAGGCGCCTGGGTCCTAGGAGACATAAACCAACCCTCCATCCCATGAAGCCCCCATCAGCCCGGCCACCCCCACGCCCAGTTCCCCGCCCTACTCACATCATCCCACTTGATGAAGCGCTCCCCTTGGCTCAGATAGGCCTTCACCTGGGGAGGCAGCAGGACGGGGTTAAGCAGAGACATGATGCTAAGTGTCCCTCTTTGGAGAGGCTGGGCAGACACCAGCGGGCAGGAGGAGGGAAGGAAGGAGGGCCAGCAGGAGGGGAAGCCAAGCTGAGCTCACATGGCACCCGCCCAGAGCTGGTCCGGAAGTCTGGGTGCTCTTATAGCCCACGGAGTGACAGTGGCTGCGTGCAGAGCTCAGAGCTCCTCTGGGCAGAGGCCCATCTATCTGCCTTGTAAATCAGCCTCCTCCCGCCCTGCCCTGTAGTGGGGGGCTGCAGACACTGCTCCTGCCCAGGGGGGCTGGGCTCCCCTTCTGGAAGTCCCCGCCCTCACCCTGGGCCTCTGTACTTCCTGCTCAGGGCTTCCTTCTCTGTATTGCTCAGAACTGAGAGAAAGGTCATGAGGTCCGGGGGCCTTGGAGCCAGGGCGTCTTGTCACAGGGGTAGTGCCCCATCAGATTTGGCCCATGGGCTGGAGTTGTCCAGTGAATTCGACATTGTCAGGGCTTGGACTGAGGGGAGTGCGTAAAGAGCTCTCTAGGGGAAGGGACTTCCACGTGGATGGGGTCCAGAGCAGGGGTTCTGTCCCCAGAGGGTGGGGCCACCCTGGAGATGGGAATAGAGGACAGAGACAGTCTGGGAGTGTGTTTTGAATAAGCAAAGTTAGCTGATCACCCAGCTAGTCTTTCTCAATGCTTCCTCCCCATGAAAATGAGGGTCAGGTGAAGCAATTCCTTACCATGACTCACTTCTCTGGGCCTCTGGGCCTGGCTGAGGCCTGGAAACCACTGACCAGCCACCACCCTACATAGCTGGGAGCCCCCTTGCCGCCAGCCTCTACCAAGCACTCCTTCCAGGAGCACTCTGCAATGTCGGCTCTGGACCCAGGGGCCTCCAGACTCTGGGACTACAGGGGACTGCTATTGACTACACTGAGGTGTGTGACCCTCACACTGCCTGGCCCAGCAGTTTAGCCAGCCTACTTCCTCTTGCCTAACCTACTCATCTTATCACCCTTCTCAGTCCAACTAGGGAAGCAGGAGCTCTCCCCATGATTTCCTTCCCCTCTCAGGGCCTAGTTGTCTGTCCTAGGTCCCACCAGGGACCTCTGTGCCACTCCTGACAACTGGAAGACCCTCACTCTGCTGGAACTGCCTCACAGGTCAGGGTCAGTGCAGAGGGGCAGGCAGAGGGAGGACACTTTGTGAGAATTAGGAGGTAGTAAAATGTGCAGTGGACACTTAGGCTAAGGGGATTCCCAGCACAGAAACAATCCTGAGAAAAGCAATTCTAAGACCAGAGGGGAAGAGCGTGAAGCAAGGCCCTACCTAGCCTCCTGGAAACAGCTTTCAAGCTATGGGTGGCAGGTGCTTTCCCCCTCCTTCAGTGTCTCTCCTCTGCCCCCTTCTAGCCCTGGGTCCTCCTGGGGGCACCTCTGGTAGCCCCTGCTCTTCTGGCTGTCTCTCTGGGGTCAGATTACCTGTCAGTTTGAATGAGTTTTGCAAGGGAAATCCCTGTCCCTTCCTAAAGCCCTTGCACCTGTCACCTGCAGTGGATCTGCTTCCCGCGCCAAGTCCTTTTTTCCTGTGTTCCCAGTGGCCATCAGGCTCTCGCCTTTGAGATGACAACTCCGACACCTGTCCCTTACGGCTCCACTCCTCACTGCAAAGATTTCAGGGGACTCTGTCCCCGCAGTCTCGGCTCTGACAACACAGAACAAAGCCCCCTGCGCCCTTACACGCCGATGGCACCCCGCATCACTCCTCAGACCCCAGCTGTACTCCCCCGTCCACATCCTGACCTCCCACAAAGCCAACCTGAAGAATTCAGGAAATCCAGGTAGCCAGAAGAGCCAGCTAGGAAGACCTTTATCAAAGAGGGCATTTTTCCTTTTAAAAATACATTTAGGAAGTCAAATACCAGTGGTTTGTGCCTGTTACCCCAAGTTTCAGGGGGGTTGAAACAGGGAGGATGGCAGCTCCAGGCCAGCCAGGGCAAAAAAGTTCATGAGACCTCACCTCAACAGGAAAAGCTGGTCCAGGCACTGGTGGTTCACATCTGTAATTCTATCTACCTAGGAGGCAGAGATCAGGAGGATTGCAGTTCGAAGACAGCCTGGGCAAATAGTTTGTGAGACCCTATCCGGAAAAAAAAACCCATCACACACAAAAAAAGGGCTGGCGGAGTGTAGGGCCTAAATGCAAACCCCAGTACTGCAAAATAAAAGAAAAAGAAAAAAAATGGACATGGTGGTACACATCTGTCATCCCAGTGACAAAAGAAGCGTAAAACAGAAACATCAAGGTCCAGCTGGCCTGGGCAAAAAGCAAGACCCTATCTCCAAAATAATCAGAGAAAAAGGGCTGGAGGTGTGACCTCAAGCAGTAGAGTGCCTGACTCACAAGCACAAAGCCCTGAGTTCAAACCCCACAGCTGTTCAAAATAATAATAATAATAACAATAATAATAATACAGTTAGTCCCAGCTATTTGGGAGACGGAAGCAGCCAGAGGATTGCTTGAGCCTAGGAGTTAGAGGCCAGCCTAACTGACACAGACCCTGCCTCAAAAAAATGTTACATAAATAATAGTAGAGCAGTTACAGAGGAAAACAGGGAAGTCACACACACATACCCAGTGTAGAAAGTGGCCTTGGGCTCCTAGGCTGAGATGAGTGCCAGGCAATGGGCCCATGTGGCCCCCAGAGTGGACAGTGGAAGGGCAAGGATGCCCCCTGCTGGAGAGCCTTGCCTGCTGGGAAAAGGGGTGGACAGAAGTTGCTGGTGGCTCCCTCCCTTGTGGTCCAGAGTTTGGTTCCTGGCGCCTGGGCTACAGAAGGCAGCAAAAGTTGCAACCCAGGGACAGGGACCAAGTTCCCTTACTCACTTGTTGGTGTTTTGTGGGGATCCCAAGCTTTCGTTTCCTGGTCTGCTTAGCAGAGACGCTTAGTGGTGGAGCTTGAACTCCAATCTCTGGGTGCCATAGTTACCAGCCAAACAAAGGAGTCAGATTAGGTCCTTTTCTTAACCTGACGCCATTCTCCAGTAGTATTTGGGAGTGGGAGGTCTGCCAGCAGGCCAGCTCGCCTTTGGGATAGATATGGCTCAGTTGCTACATCCCAGGGGTCTGTTTCCAGCCTGGCACAGGAAGCCACGCTCACTGCTATATGAACCCAGCCATTTCCTATTGGTTTATCTTGTGATAACTAACCTTCCTCAGCCTCATCTTTCTCATCAGCAAAGTGGGAACAATAATGCCTCGCAGGGATGTCGTCAGGATGAGAACAGTGACCGCACGTGAGCGTTGTTACGTGACTATTTATTTAATCGTTTATATATTTACCAGCAGGCCCTGGCAGGAGAGATGTGGTTTCTTATTACTTCTTCCTCAGCACACTCAGCCTTCTGAATCTGTGGATCATGCATCTGTGGATTCAACCAATCACAGATTAAAAAATATATATTGGGGGGAAAAAATGACATCTGTACTGCGTGTGATCCAAGTTGTCTTCCTGTCATTGTTCCCTAAATAGCAGAACAGTTATTTGCATGGCACTTACATTGTATTAGGCATTACAAGCAATCGGATATGACTGAGAGTGTGTGGTAGGTAATATGCAAATGCTACACCACTTTCTAGAAGGGACTTGAGAGTCTTTGGATTTTAGTATACACAGAGGATCCAAAGCCAACAACCCATGAATACCAAGGGGAATTCATCCACGTCCTGCTTGTTTGTTGAGATAGAGTGTGGCTAACTTTTTTCCAGGGCTAAACTGGAGCCACAATCCTCCTGGTCTTCACCTACCAAGTAGCTGGGATTACAGACATGAGACACCACACCCGGCCTCTCTGGATTCCCCCATCCCCTTCCCCAGCAATTTGTGTGGCTCAGAACCTGGACCCACCTTTCCATGGCAGGCCGAGTTAGGGATGCTGCTGACTGTGGACTTGAAGCCTACTGTCCTCAAGAGTCCTGAGTTCATGGAGTCATAAGCATCAGCTCATGAACAACTGCTGGCCTCCACTAGCTTCCCAGCTAGACCTCCATAGCTGATGAGGCAGGCAGGACAATGAGGACCAGGAGCTGGCCAGTTTTAGCTCCCCATCCAGCTGTGGCTGTGGACCCAGCTGCCCGCTGTGATGCTGAGAGCTGAGCCTGAGGGGAGGCAGGGGCAAGGCAGTAGCAGTTACAGAGGTCCTAATCCCTTAGGCAGGAGAGGAGAGGCAATCAGGAGTTCACTGTAGCCTGGTGTGGTGGTTCACACCTGTAATCCCAGCACTCAGGAGGTTGAGGCAGGAGGCCAGTCTGGCCTACATAGTGAAACCCTGTCTCAAAAAATTTCTCTGTAGAAGCCCAGGAGTGAGACGTTGCTTATCCTCCCCTTCCAACCCCTCTAAGATCATCTGAAACTTTAAAGCAGAACAGAAGCAACCCAGGTGTTTCCCTTTGAAGTGACATTTTGGATGGCATTTTCACGTACCTGAAAGTGTAGCCTAGTGAACACTGGACCCATCCTCAGAAACCCAAATTGTTGTTCCAGATGGAGTGAGGGTTTGCTGTGTGATCTTGGCAAGTTGCCTGAGCTCTCTGATCATTTCCAAGATTCCTTCCAGCTCTAAAAATCTCTCTTTCCAATCAGAAAGGCCAACCTGTCACCTTTATCTCCTGCCTTCCCTCTGAGCAATGGCCAACCTAGAGATGAGGGCTATAGATGACAGGAAACTCTGTAGATAGCAGGGGGTCAGTGAGTACAGGAATATGTTGAGAGACACACTTGGGACAAAAAGCAAGTCCCAAGGCTGGAGCAACAGCCTAAACCTCACAAGGTAAAATGAAAGGGCTTAAGTGAGTGATCCAGGCTTGGCTCCAAGGCACTCACTGTACAAGGGCAGGGTGGGGAGGTAGCAGCTTAGCAGAAGCAAGTGTGAATAAAACTGAGGGTTTCTGCTGACAGCCAGCTTCATCTGAGTCAAGTGACACAGCTGCCAATAAAAGCAGACAGACTCTTAGGCTGCTGAATTACAGTCTATAATGAGCCCGGTGGTGCTCCATCTTGATATCACATCAGAATCACCTGCCAAGCTCTGGTAACACTGCTTCACCCAGGCCCTCTGAATGCCCACCCAGAGATAAGGGTGGGGAGATGGGAAGGGAGGTAAGGAGTGTGGTGCCTTGGTGCACCCAGTACTCTGGAACCAAGGAAGACTCCCTCCCTTTCTCACTCTTGACATGTCAGACTATCCCTGAAACACTCAGGGATTTCTGTTTAGG